CAGACACTTGTTACTAGCCAGAATTGTCGTTATACAATGTAGTTTGTGTACGCCTAGGTTTGTGTTAGGTGGGGCCTGAATAGTTCAATGTGTTGTTTAAATCATTCTCCCAGAGAGGACGCAGAGATGCTACCTCACACATTAAAGAGCCACTAGGCCTGCGGCAATTGCCATTGCTTTGCCCTAAGGACCAGACTCAAACCCACAACCTTTAGGTTGCAGGCCAAGTCCGATACCATGGCGCCACAACGGCAACATTTAGAAGGGGGCATTTACCCTAGGCTATGGCTTATTTCACCACCTAAACTAGTCTACCCACCCCCATCCTTTTTGGCATGGCACTAACACTAATGCCTAATTTACAAAAATGACTACGACATATTCGTGCATTTATCCTGTTGTTCACTATGTCGCACTTACAGTACCTATGTAGACACCACCTGGTTTTTCATTTTTGTTCAATCATTCCATGCAGAAAATATGTGTATTGAAAATACTAGAAGGTATTGAAATTTAGAAGCAGTCTCTAAATAGAAGATCTCGATAATTTACAACTGAACGAACTGTACCTATGATACATACATAAATAATCGAAGGGTGTTTAAATTTTATCTTTAGGGTAGGGTTCATTTATGAAGAGGTAGAATTGCGATTCCAACTAGAAATAAAATATCAGAGCATAATTGATTTAGTTTCACCTAGAAACATTGAGAATAGATTTAGATACTACAACACGTTATTTATTGGTACAAGAAGTGCAATTTTTCAAAAAGGGCAAAATATTCTCATTTTCCCTCCTGAAGATAATAATTAGAAGTCTCCCTCTATGGATGATACGACGTAAATCAACAACTTGCGTATTCAAAATATGTACATATATAAGATCCGCAGCCTTTTAGTGGAGTAAAAGTTGGTAAAAAAAAAGAATACTGTTTTTATTTTATTGTCTTAAGAATTGTCTGATTATCCACCCACACAAGACAGGCCTATCGAAGCCCTCGAAAATTATGAGCAAGGTAAAATGAATGAGAATACAAAAATTGAACCTTCATTTACCCTTTCTGACTTGACACATTCTGTTTTCAATAAACTATCGGTTTCAGTATAAGTCAATATTAGAAAGTGAAAGATGAGAGACGGAGAAGTCTGTGTAGACAAACCAGTTTTCTTACTTCCAACCTTCAAAGATTTCCAACCCTTGAATTGACCAGGAAAGAGTTTCAATATTCCTTATTCTAATTTGAAGTTTCATTTTCTATCTAATAAATGATCAATGTCTTACGACAGAATTTGATTGATTTCCTCTTCTTAACCGAGTCGTGATTTTTTATTTGCTAACCGAGTGTAACACAGTTATTGGAAGATGTGTTATACTTACAATTAACTGCGTGACTAACTATGAAAATTATTTGCCTTTCACAGGCCATTTTCACAATTCACACGAATAACCCAGTTAAATAGTGCACACTATTCATCTGACAAGCCCTCTGAGCAATTTTCAGCTCAATTCTACCCTCAGAGCAATCTTCAGCTCATTCTTACTCTCAGAGCAATTTTCAGCTCACTTTTGCCTCCAGAGCAACCTTCAGCTCGATCTTTGAAACAAATCCAGAGTCATTGTCCCCAGGTATGAAGTCTTCATACCTCATAAAATCGAATTAGCTCCCTGTTTTACATTTTCAGATATGTATTTAAACCGTTGCCAGAACCAATTAGCCAAATTCAGCCAAAAATACACACTGAGGTCTCCCTCAAGTCAGTATTGATTGGAAAAACCATGCAGGTCCCACTTGAGGGGTAAAACGATGTATTTGAAGTAAAGTTGAGTGGATTTAGTGACTTTTTGTGAAAATTTGTTAAACTCAACAATGACTTTATAGAAAATAATTATGGGTGTTCCAGAAAAAGAATCTTTTTAGTTAATACAAGGTTTCATCTCTGACATGATTCGTACAGCCTTATAAGTTCCTAGAGAATGCCCTGACCAAAAAAAAAAAACTTCATTTTCGGTCTAATTAACGGGACGATGTTCGTTTATTTTGGCATATAGGGGTCCATTTGTGACTGCTTTGGGTAAAATATGGTGTCCAGAACATTTCCTCTGCGTCAACGATAAATGCGGCCGTTCTCTGTTGGATATTGGATTTGTGGAAGAACCAACTGGACTCTATTGTGAATATTGCTTCGAACGGTACCTCGCTCCAACATGCGCCAAATGTTCATCCAAAATTAAAGCTGTAAGTTTCTACTTTCCTTTTGCTCAGTTGCAATTTTTTTGGTGGAGGTTTTTGAATGTTGTAATGGGATCAATTTTGAGGGTCAAAAAACCGAGTAAATTTTAAATAAGAGTGAAATTCTCAGCCCCAATCGAAAAGAAGAGCTAAAATGGCACCTGTTCTATTAACTTTTCAACTCTAGTTCTCTTGTGCGTTAATTTTTCAATTATTTGGTTACAGGATTGTTTAAATGCCATTGGCAAACACTTTCACCCCAACTGTTTCACATGTG